GCAGGGAACGTTATGAAAGAAGGGAGAGATACAAAGACCTGGAGGGGACAGGAGCTCCACAAGGAGACCAATAGAACCAAAACATCTGGGCCCAGGTGTCTTTTCTGAGACTGATACTCCAACCAACTACCATGCATAGATATAACCTAGAACCCCTGCACAGATGTAGCCTATGGCAGCTCAGTCTCCAAGAGGGTTCCCTAGTAAGGGGAACGGGGGCTGTCTATGACATGAACTCAGTGGCTGGCTATTTGATCACCTCCCCCTGAGAGGAAAGCAGACTTACCAGGCAGCAAAGGAAGCCAATGCAGATAGTCCAACTGGACGTCTTATGCCACTAAGAAAATTCAACATTGCTAGGAATGGGCTACATTTTTATTGAGTCATTGGCCAAAGTAGTCTCATGGAGTCCTCCAAACATCTTAGGCTATTGCCAAGGCTTTGCTCTCCACAACCTAATGGTAAGACCCTATTGCTGAAAACAACGCTTAACTTATGACATTGAACATGGAGAAACTGAGCTTGTGTTCAACTAGAAGCCTCATTCCTATGGCAAGCACTCGTAATGTGGGAAGGTATTCTGCAAGCTATCAAAAGAGAAAGGTAATCGTCTGTACATAAGCTACAAACCTTGTCCGCCTACAGTGGCAGCCCTTCTGCCAGATACACTGGTGCGATAATGACACAAATGTCCTGAGAGCAACCGCACTCTTAGAGTCGATTTACGGTCCACCCTATGAGGCGGCGCCCATACTAGACACCTGAGACTAAATAGGTCATGGGCTCCAAGGAAAACAACCTGCTTCTAATGACACTTCTATACCCATGGATTGGGGCATCACCCGGCACTCAGCAGAGGAGTTTCTATTTGCAGTGGATGCCAATTAACACAGAGACCCACAAATGGATAGTGTATAGAGAATGTGAGAATTTGGAGCATCCATCCTCAAAAGGGTTTTTTTGTTTTTTTTCAAACCCTCTTCTCAAGGCCCAGGATTTATACAAAAGAGGAGGCACCACGAATGTAAGAGCCTGAGGTGGTGGATGATTCCATGAAAACAGACACAAAGAGGCTGATATACATATGGACACAGAGAGAGAGAGACTATGATAGCACGCATAAAGTCTACACAACTTGAGATCAGACAACCTCAGCTTTGAAAGGGGGAAGGAGAAACCAAGTCCCACCCTTACTAAGAAGCTATTTGCAGTTGACACGTGCTAGAAAGAAAAACCAGCTTTCTCTTACAGAGTGATACTGGGTACATCAGCCACACTCCAGGTAGACAACACGCCGAGGAAGGTAATTGTCCAACATCAGATGGACCCCATGGTTTTGTGTGTGCTTTTCATTTTGTTTCACTACTTTTTGTCTTGTTCATTTGTTTGATTTGGTTTTCCCTTTTTGTTTTGTGGGAGAACATGAAATTGAATGGGTAAGTTGGGAGGTGGGAAGGATCTGAGAGGTGATACGATGAAAATTTATGAAAAGAAATTTAACCAGGAAGAACACAAATAAATGGCTTAATGATGTAACTCAAAATCTATGTAGAAACAAACAAACACAAAACCAGTAGATGACAAAATAATAAAATCAAGGCCGAAATTAATGAAACAAACAAAAGAATACAATACAAGGGATCAATGAATCTAAGATCTGCTTCTTTGAGATGATAAACAAGATTGACAGCCACTTGACCCAACTAGACAAAAGAAAAGAGGATCCAAATTAACATGATCAGACATGCACAGAACTATAAAGAAATTCAGAACGTTAAAAGAAATACTTTAAAAACCTGCACTCTGTGAAGTTTTAAGACCTAAAAGAAGTGAATTAATTTCCACATTCATCCAAACCATCAAAGTTACCCCAAGACATCAATAACCTAAATAAACCCAAAACAAATGAGAAAATTTAAACGTTTATAAAAGCTTTCAAGTTAAAAAACAAACAAACAAAAAAAGCTGAGGCCCAAATAGAATCACAACAGAATCCAACCAGACTTTCCAAAAGATCTACAACCAATACTTCTTAAATTATTTTTAAAAAATAGAAACCAAAGAAGCTTCTCCAAACTCATCCCAGTATTAGTTTAATATCACACACACACATACATTAAACAAAACAAATAAAAAAGACAGACCAATATCCCTGATGAACATAGATGCAAAAATACTACCAACCTGGACAGGCATATACTACAATCATCCACTATGATCAAGTTTGCTTTATCCCAGAAATGCAGGGATGGTTCAACATACATAAATGTAATCAATCATATAAATGTATTCAATAAATGAAGAAAGAAACTTTGATGAAATAAATCCAACGTGCTGTCATGATAAAATCCTAGACAGGGTAGGACTGGAGGAATATCCCTTAAGATAAAGGCTACATATGACAGCATCATAGGCAACATCATCCTTAGCAGAGGCTAACCCACTGAGATCAGGAACGAGACAAAGCTCTCCACCCCACTCCCTCTCAACATTCTGCTTGAAGCAAGAAGTCCCTAACATAAATTCACAGGGATTTAGATACGAAAAGAATTATCAAGTTATCTCTGTTAGCAGATAATATGAGATCACACATAGGAGATCAGAAAATTCTGCCAGAAAACCTCTAGAATCAATCAACAATCTCAACAAAGTGGAAGGATACAATACTAACTTAAAATCTCAGCTTTCCTATACATCAACAACAAGCCTCAGAAAGAGAGCATGGACACCCTAACATTTAAAATACTCCCAAAGACAATAAAAGATCTTGGAATAAACCTAACCAAGCAGGTGAAAGGCCTACAAAATGAAAACTTTGAAACCTCTGAAAAGAGGATATTTGGGAAGACAGAAAACAAAGATCTCCCCATGTTCATGCAATATTGTCAACATGACCATCTGAGAAAAGCAACCCAAGAGTCAATGTGATCTCAGTCAAATTACCCCCGAAGTTCAGCATCACTTCAATTAAATGCAGAGGGAAAAAAAAATGTCCCTTGAAAAAGAAAAAGCCAGACACTCTGAATAGGACACCTGAGGCGTGCCTCTAGGATTAGGGTTCAAGAAAACTGTTCATTCCACCACTTTCCTTCAACGCATATGTGAGGTCTTAGTCAAAATAATAAGACAGGAGCGACATTAAGAGCTTCCAAACAGGAAAGGAAAAAGTCAAAATACACATTTTTATAAAACAAAACCACAACTGGACATTTAGGAAAAGAAACAAGGAAAAAGAATCAACTGATAAATGAATTAAGTGAATGTGCAGAAACAAAATCCAGTACATTAGTTATTGTATATATTCATGGTATGTATTACTATATTGCAGAAGGACATTTTCACACAAGCGTATACTGTACAGTGAGTATGTTCCTCTCCACGTCCACCTCAACTTTCCCCTTCTTCACGCTTCCCCTCTCCTATTGGTACCTTTGTTCTCTCGTTTTACTTCTTTTTCATGTCAAATACGCATACACGGTTATGTACTTCTATAGAATTCTACAGAATCTAATAACTGTGAGAGAAAATGTGTTATGTTTGTCTTTCTGAGACTAACTTCATTCACCTAATATGACAATCATCAGTCACATCCATGTTCTGCAAATGAAAACTTCGTTCATTGCCAATAGAAGAACTCACAGATGCAATACCACACATTATGTTACAAAGAAATACACAAGAATACATTTAATCAAAAAAAGCGATTAAGGCACAGAAAGAAAAAGGAAAGGCATCCTGTTTTCATAAACTGGAAGAACTGACATTGGCAAAATTGTTTACACCAACCAAACTGATGGAAATCATCAATGCCATTCCTACCAAATTAACAATGACATTCTTCAGAGAAATAGAAATATATACGTATATCTGCAGTACCACAGTTGACCATAAAAGCCAAAGGAATTCTAAACAAAAGGACTGAAGCAGAAACGTACCCCTCTGCCTGAGTACTAAATATACTAATAAATTATACCAACAAAATGCCTTTGCACAAACAGAGAAGCCAGGGATAAGCTCATGCGTCACAGTCAATGATTCTGTAGGGGAGAGAAAGCACACTGTGGTGTGGCTGTACAAAATAAAGGTGAAAACCGCCATGGCATGACACGGTGTGGAACCATCTCAGAAATGCTATACAGAAAAAAAGGAAGAAAGAGGGAGGGCGAAGGGAAGGCGGGGGAGAGGGGAAAGAAGGAAGATGTGAAAGAAGCATACGCTACCACAACCCCTTCAGCTGAGATGGTCCTGACAGGACTGCTCTCAGGCTGCCTGGAGGTGAACAAAAACACGAGAACCCAAGAAAGGCATGAGAAGTCTCAGGGATAATCATCAGATTCAGCATCTGACGGTAGCCACAGTCACCCTAGCCAAGCTCATCATCCTGTCTGTGTAATTGGTCCCTTTGATTTTGTGAAGACCACACCTCCGGTAAGATGAACTTTAAAGAGGGATTAATAGGAGTGAAGAAAGAGGAATTGTTCTGCCAAACGGTCAACAATCTTTTTTAATGGGATATGCAAGCCCCACTCACGCCTATGCATTGAAACTCTCTGCCAGCCTATACTGTGATTGGAGCAATTTGGTTTTCACCACAGATACGGTACTATCCAGAAGCACTGTACTCTGGACTTTTTGCATTCACTGTATTTTCAGGACTTTCCTGTCATACAAATGAGCAAAGTCACCTCATGTTCAGTCAATCATCACACTACTAATTACACGGGAAAGCTGTGTCCTAAAAAGTAAGCGTTGGACTGACGAGAGACTGAACTCCAAACATAGAGTTGTAGAATTTACGAAGTGTAAAGGTTTGGAGGCATTCGTGCACTTCAGCCTTCTCGGGTTTGAACACCTGAACAGTGTTTTTCTTACGTGCACTTGAAGCTTGAGTCATTCACAGCAGGGCCCTGCAAGGCCCTCAGTGTAATTTAGAAATATTTCTGAAGAAGAAGGGCTAAAACAGTGAGCTTGTTGCACATTTCCGTAGATAACACACTTACTTGGGCAGAGCCACAGTCACAGATCTCATTTTCCTCCACTTTGCCGTTTCCACAGACGGGTCTCGGGCCTACTTGCATTTGTGGCTTATTCTGAAGACATTTGGCACCCATACTCGATTTAAAACGTTCAAAGTCACTCAAACTGCAATTGCTAAATGTCTTCATACCTCTATGTTGTCTAAAAATGAATTCATACACTGTCATTAGCATTACACATCTCAAAGCATAACTCTGTATTATATGTTAGCTTTGTGATATTGTTTAATATGTGATAGCAAATACTTCTGATAAGTGCTCATAATCATTCTTGAGGTGGTCATGTGATTTTTACTCACCACAATACATTTGGTTACTTAAAAGAATTAAGTACAAATCAATAGCAAATGATTTTTATAGAAAAGAATTTGATTAGACATGACTCAAAAAAAAAAAAAAGAAAAAGAAAAAGAAAAGTCACAACCAATTTTCAACTGCATGCAGAAGAAGAGCAAAGACAGTTTCATCCCTGAGAACACATGAATGGATAGATTGTGTCAAAGGAAAAGATAAACAGAGGAGGTCCAGAAAGAAGTCAGTCGCGTCCATCATGAATCAACAAACCTCCAAATAATAAGAGAAGAGGTAAAAAGAACTGCTAATAAACTGATCAGAACAGCAGCCAAGAGAGTCCTCAGGACGGCAAACCCTTCATAGTAAGGGCTACAATAATGCAAATGACCTTAACTCACCAATTGAAAGACACAGATGAACAGACAAGATTAAAGACAAATATCCCCAAGAAACCAATGTAACTAACAAAGACATCTATGAGCTAAATTAAAGGATGGAAATAAAAGGGCTATGGTTTATATATACATGTGTATGTATATATCATAAGAAATAAAGAAGGCCATTAATAGAGGGTCAAGTCATCAAAACTATTATTATTTTAAGTTCTGTGTCAAAACTTGGACCACCCAATCTCATAAAGGAAACACCAGCAGACATGAAAGGACACACTCATCCTGACACAATGGTGTGGACAGGCTCCAGCATCACACTAACTTCTGGATGGGTCTGACAACCAAAATGCAACAAAAACAGACAAACAAAAACCCCAACAACTTCAGAGTGAAATTATAGCGTAGATTATATGGATCTAATAAAGAGTATTCTAGCCAGCATATGGGGAATATATATTCCTCGCAGTAAAACACGGAAACTTCTCTAAGGTTAATCACATTAGAGGCCACAATGCAAGCCTTAACAAATTCAGAAAGTTCCAATAGAGGTCAACAGTAAGACTAACCTCACACACTGCACAAATACTTGGAGACTGAATAATACACTATTTGAGTGAATGACATGACAATAAATAAATCAGTGAAGAAATTTTTAAATTTCTCTAGTCAAATGGAAATGAGAGCATGACCCAGCAAAACCCTGAATACAGCCTAAAAGGACTGCCTCTGTTGTAAGTGCTAAAGTTCAAACAATAATAGTAAGAGATCTCAAACAACTTAATAGTTTGTGTCAATGTCTCGGGGAAAAATAAGAAGCCAAACCCAAATGCAGTGGACAGCACAAAGTAATAAAGATTAGGGAAGAGTTTAAACAGATAGAAACTAAAATAATACTAAATTAAAACAAACTAATAAAACAGTCAACTGGTTCTTTGAAAATATGAACAAGGTTGATAAACTTCTATCCAAACTAACCAAATGAAAGACAAAAATCAAGTAAATAAAATTAGAGACTGAAAGTGAGTTACAGAAACAGACTCCAATAAAACCAGGAGACTGTTACAGAAAATTTAGAAGAAACAGATAAATTTCTAAATGCATATGATCTACCAAAATTAAAGCCAAAAGATATAATAATTTATATAAACTTATAACAGACTATGACAGTAATTAAATCTTCCCATAAACAAAACCCCAGGACCAGATACAGTCCCTGCTAAATTTTCTAATACCAAGATTTTTCAAACTGTTCCACAAAACATAAAGAAAGGAAACATTTCTGTACTCATTCTATGAAATCAACCTTACCCCTAGACCAAAACAACAGACAGAGCAATTTCTCTGATAAACAGAGATGCAAATTTTCCTAACAAAATCCTTGCAAACGTAATTCAAGAACATATCAAGAAAATAGTAGGTCACAATTAAGTTGTTTATGTTTACATCCCAGGAATGAAGGATTGACTCGACATAAACATCATCAATAAATGTAAATAAGTAAATAAATAAATAAATAAAATTGTGAACAGAAATCACATGGTCATTTCAATAAATGCGAAACATCTTTATGATAAAAGTCCTGAAGAAATTAGGAACAGTTGGAACATACCTCAACATAATAAAGACTGTATAAGACAAACCTTTGTCCAACATTATTCTAAGTGGAAAAAGATTGAGACTTTTTTTTTTTTTTGCCAAATCTGGAATTTTTTTTCTGCTTTTATTCAACACAGTGTTGAAGCTCTTAGCTGCTGCTCTAGTGCCATGCCCGTCTGCTGCCATGTTCTCTGCCCTGACAGTCGTCAACTCTAACCCTTTGAAATGACAAGCCCCCAGTAAACTCTTTCTTCTATAAGTTGCCTTGGTCATGGTGTCTTATCATAGCAATAGAAAAGTAACTTAGTCACCTGCCAATAAAGGAGGGTCTCTGTGGCAAAGAGAGTAAATCCTCTTATGCTTCAATTCCCTTATCTACCCAGCAAGATGCTAATACCCATCGACCTCACCAGGTCACTCTATAAATTAAATAACAAGGAAAATGCCTAATTTGCCTCTTTGGCATAAGGTTCCCAATAGATCATTGGTGGTATGGATATTATGGACAGTCACTTAGGCTTTGTGAACTCCAGGGAGTTTTCTTTAACATACACATTTAAACAAGCACTAGTGACACAAGCTGTAATCTCAGATAACTCGAGGGGCTGAGGCAGAGGGACTGAGTAGTCACAGCCTGCCTGAGCAACTAAGACTCCATTATCAAATCAAAAAGCAGACACTGGGCTGGAGACGTAAAGCTCAGAAGTGAAGTGTTCCGGCTCAGCCCCAGTACTGAGAAACAAAACAATACACGAGATAGAAATGACCTTGCCAACTTGCATGCCTTCTTTGGGGACTGACACAGAATGGCATACAACAAATGCATACAGAATGCATACAACAAACGAATTGTTAGCCTTTTAAACTGGCAACTCCTTCTCTTACACACAGTGTAAAGGGACGGTGAGAAATGATGGCTGTGTATGAAAACACTGAGCATTGTAAGAAAGGCAACAAAGAAAATGCCCAGTTTGGCCACGAACTGACTTGCTGACCACAGGTCATTCGTGTAAAAATGAGAATAACAGAACTTGCTATCCAGACACACTGTGAGCATCTAAAATGTTAATGTGTGTAGAATCTCAGAATTGGTCCTTAGCACATAGTGAGTGCAATGAAAGTGCATGGACTGACCTGATTGTATATACTGATACCTCTGAGCATCTTCACAAAGCTTTCATCTGATACTCCTGATAATAGTTGACCAATGGATAGTAACTCTCATGATTTTCTTTTTGTTTGTTTGTTTGTTGTTTGTTTTTGAGACAAGGTTTCTCTGTGTAGCCTTGGCTGTCCTGGACTTGCTCTGTAGACCAGGCTGGCCTTGACCTCAGAGAGATCAGCCTGCTTCTGCCTCCCTGAGTGCTGGGATTACAGGCGTGTGCCACCATTCCAAGTTTCACATAATTTTCTTATGCTTGACTTATTTCTGTCTATATAAACATGCTTACACACACATATATATGAATATGTAATACATATTCTTTTTAGAAATAATTTGTAATACAAATATATATATGTCTATACAGATGTTTGAGTTTGTTCTGTCCTTAGAAACTAATAATTCTTAATCCTTAAATTATGCTTGGGAGTGATTAGGAAACTGGTATTTTTCTAAAAATCAATATCTTAGTGAGCTCATTTTTTTCCTCTTAATTGATTCTTCATGAATGAGCAGACCACACCTGTTTTGGTCCATTTCCACAAACAAAACATCTATATAACACTAACGGCAAATATTAGAACCATTGTCTGATGAACATTTTGAAAAGTTTGGTAAATTTCAAAATTATTATAGCTAGTGTCACACACTTGTGGGGTTTTTACCATTTGCTCATTTTATTCTTACTTTGCCCTCTGGAGTTAGAGAATATCTATTTAAATATGAGTAAAGTAAAAGTCCAGAAAAGTCAGCCAATTATTCTAAAGTAACAAGTGCCATATATTGGATTTGGACCTCCAACTGATACTCCTTGTTTGATTGGTAGTTTGCTTTTTTTTTTTTTTCTCACATCAAACTATTCTAAAAGTAAATACAAAAAGCTCTGCTTTAAAAAAAAAAAAAAAGACCATGTTTTTCAAATTCAAACATATTTTAAAAGCTTCTTACTAGGGGGGCTGCATAAAATTCACCTCTAAGGCACGTTCCTCTACCTATAGGTTGCACATTGAACTTGTCTGTCCTGTAACAGTAGTCCTCAATTCTACTGCTCTCACATTTAAACTGCGTATTTATATAAGCAAACACTACATTTAACACAAAATAACCATAACCAACAAGTAAACATTTTTTAAAAACTCACAGCGCTCTTGCATCCATGAGGCAGATGGTTTCTGGGCAGTGGCATCTTGTTGAGTCATCATATGATATCCCCAGACCGAGCCCCAGCATCTGGGCGACAACAACTGAGAAAGTCTCCAAAGTCATGTTCTTGGGATACTAAAGTGACAAAGAGGTTCCAAAAGAGAAGACGCCATTGAGTGATAAAAGTATGTTTCCGAGATGAAACGTTTTAAATTTGTGTCAAACATTTCATAACAACAAGCATGATTCCTTGGATGGGTGAAGACCTCTTTGGAAAAGTACTGAGATAGAAGTACCCAGTCAATGCCATGACAAGCTCTGTTCATTTTTCATTTTTCATCTCTATTCTCTTCCGTTGCTTTATTTCTATAGCTATTTCTATCTTAATTACAAAGGGATCGTAAGTTTTAATATAAATACTTATATACATTCTACATATATTCCTCCACCTTCTTAAGCTTCGACACTATCGTGGCTTTCCAAAACTTAAATGTAAATAACTTGTAAAAAGCCCCTCTCTTTGAACTTGTCTCCACAGTGATTTTCTTTTCCTATTATGTCCACCCCCAGCTACTCAGTCCTAGGTTCTCCGCTGGATCTTGTAACCAGACTAATTCCTTCCTTATCTCAGTAACCAACATCTCTCACCCTTCTCAAGGATTGAATGAGTACATACCATTGTGATTCCTGCAGAGTAGCGGGCAGAACACATCTTCCCAGGGTATGCTGCTCCCACGTAATTTGGGTACTCGTTATAGCTAAATAAATAAACGCAGGTTTATCATTAATCCTAGTGAATTGCCCCTGCTATCGGAATTCCTGAAAGTTTAAAGCTCTAAGTCAGATAATTCCTACTCTGAAGTAAGTCCAGGCTCAGAGGTCAAATATGTCAATTATGGTTTGAAATCTGAAGAGTTTCTATTAAACTGGGCTAAATGATCTTGATCTACAAACACCCAGAACACCATGTCTCTGCTGGCCTTGCTGCTTTCACCTTCGGTTCTGGTGACCCAAGCCAGCAAGTGTCAACCACAAAGCTTGCTGCATGAATTCTCTGTGTCACTTTTTCATAGAGAATGTGACAGTGGCTTGGCTGAAATGACTTTGCTGTTTCTTGGCCTTCCATTTTTACTTGGTTTTGAAAAAGAAGGGTTATAAAAGCACCGTCCACTGGGAGATTGACTTAAGTAAACCCATGATCTGATCTCACAAAAGTTTGTGCATGTAATCACATCCACAAGCTGGCTGAGGGGAGGCGCTTACCCTATTTTGATCCACAAAAAAATAAAATAAAATAAAATAAAATAAAGAAAAGAAAAGAGAAAAATGAAGGGGGGTGAGAAATACCAGCTATTCTACTAAAGTACCTGAGGGTTAGTGAAACTGAAAAGCTTCTGTAAAGGGAAGGACACTATCATCAGAACAAAATGACAACCTACAGAATGGGAAAGGATCTTCACCAATCCTACATCTGACAGAGCTAATACCCAGAATATATAAAAAACTCAAGAAGTTAAAAAGCAACAAATCAAGTAATCCAATTTTAAAAACAGGGTTCAGAGCTAAACAGAGAATTCTCAATAGAGGAATCTCAAATGGCAGAGAAACACTTAAAGAAATGTTCAACGTCTTTAGTCATCAGGGAAATGCAAAACAAAATGACCCTGAGATTTCAGCTTACACCCATTAGAATGGCTAAGATGAAAAACTCAAGTGACAACACATGCTGGAGAGGATGTGGAGAAAAGGGGACCCTTCTCCACTGCTGGTGGGAATGTAAACTTGTACAACCACTTTGGAAATCAATCTGGCACTTTCTCAGACAAGTAGGAATAGCGCTTCCTCAAGATTCAGTTATACCACTCCTGGGCATATATCCAAAATGTGCTCAAGTATACAACAAAAACATTTGCTCAGCCATGTTTGCAGCAGCTTTATTTGTAACAGCCAGAACCTGGAAACAACCCAGATGTCTCTCAATGGAGGAATGGATACAGAAATTGTGGTACATCTACACAATGGAATACTACTCAGCAATTAAAAACAAAGAAATCATGAGATTTGCAGGCAAATGGATGGAACTAGAAGAGATCATCCTGAGTGAAACAGAAAGAAAGTCATAGTATACACTCACTTATAAGCAGATACTAGCTATATGATACAGGATAGCCATGTATCCTATATTTTCCCAATTTGAGGTTCCCTCCCCTCAGATGACCACAGCTTGTTATCAGGTTGACATAAAACTAGCCAGCCCATTCTGATATTACGTTTAAGTCTTTCTTAAAAAAATATTAATAACTGCATGTATGTGTATGTGTGGATGCTCATGTGGGTGGAGGTCCCCTCAGAGGCCAGAGCCATTGTATTCCCTGAAGCCACCGGACACGGGTGCAGGCAACCTGGTCAGCTGGAAAAATGGATAGGTTCCATTGACAGCTGAGTCACCAAGTTCATGTCAGAGACAGCCCCTGCTCCCCTTACTAGGAAACCCACTTGGAGACTGAGCTGCCATGGGCTACATCTGTGCAGGGGTTTGAGGTTATCTCCATGCATGGTCCTTGGTTGGAGTATCAGTCTCAGAAAAGACACCTGGGTTCTTTGGTTCTGTTGCTCTCTTTGTGCAGCTCCAGTCCCCTCCAGATCTTACTATCTCCCTCTTCTTCCATAAGATTCCCTGCACTCTGCCCAAAGTTTGGCTATGAGTCTCAGCATCTGCTTTGATACCCTGCTAGGTAGAGTCTTTCAGGGACTTCTATGTAGGCTCCTGTCCTGTTCCCTGTTTTCTCCCTCTTCCAGTGTCCATTCTATTTGTCTTTTTGAATGAGGATTAATCCTCTTACCCAGGGTTCTCCTTCTTGCTTAGTTTCTTTAGGTGTACAGATTTTAGTATGATTATCCTACATTATATGTCTAATATCCACTTATAAGTGAGCAGATACCATGTGTGTCTTTCTGTTTCTGGGATAACTCACTGAGCATGATCTTTAGGAGAGCAACAAAACCAAAAAATCTGGGCATAGGGGTCTTTTTTGAGACTAATACTCCAACTAAGGACCATGCATGAGATAAGTTAGAACCCATGCACAGATGTAGCCCATGGCAGCTCAGTCTCCAAGTGGGTTCCCCAATAATAGGAACAGGGACCGTCTCTGACATGAACTCATGGACTAGCTCTTTGGTCACCTCCATCTGAGAGGGAAACAGCCTTATCAGGCCACAGAAGAAGACTATGCAGCCAGCCCTGATGAGACCTGATAGGCTAGAGTCAGAGGGAAGGGGAGGAGGACCTCCCCTATCAGTGGACTTGGGGAGGAGCATGGAAGGAAAAGAGGGAGGGAGGGTAAGGTTGGGAGGAAACGAGGGAGGGGGCTACAGCTGAGATAAAACGTGAATAAATTATAATAAATTTTTAAAAAAGAGAATGCCTTCCTTGTGGTACATTTCCCCCCCAACTTCATCAACCGTCAGTTTGTTATAGGTACAGGGCTTCTAGTTTTCTGTTGTGTCCTCATCTATTTCTGGTATTAGAATAATGCTGGCCTTCAGGGCTCAGGAAACTGCCGAAGAAGAGACAGGAAGACTGTAAGAGCCAGGGGGAATGGAAGATACTCAGGAACTTGTGCCTTCTAGACACAACAGGACTGACGCTCACGTGAGCACACAGTGTGGCACAGGTCTAACCTAGATATGGGTCCCAGCTTTGCGAAGGGGAGTAGACACAAGCTCCCATCCCTAACCCAGCTACCATCTGCAATCCCCGCTCACAAAGGGGAAGTTAGTTTTCTCACTATGTATACAAACCACTCTTAAGGGCGGGCCCCTTGCCCAAAAGTAGACATTTAACACAAGGTGAACTCAATAACACTTTTGGAGGTTTTTATCCTCTTTGTTTTGTCCTATTCTGTTTGGTTTGTCTATCTTTATTAGATGCCTGTTTTTCTAATGACAGAGACAAAGGTAAGGTATGGATTCGGGTGGGTGAGAATGGCCTGGAAGGAGTTGAGGGGACTGTGATCAGAGTACACATTAAAAACCTATTTTCAAGAAAAATTGCTTCCCCTTTACATTTTTGCAGCAGTTTATGAATTATTAGTATTATGCCCTTATGTGATAATTAATTATTTAGTAATTCATTCATCTAGTTTAGGAAACTCTGCTGCTTTTTACCCTGTGATCTTTTGAGGAAGGGCCTAACTTCCATAACTTTTAAGACCAAAATCTATGAGTTTAGACTTACTCTGTCCTAGCTTTATGAGAGGTTAGAACCCCAGTTGTTAAATGTGTCGTTAACCATTACACGGGGCAGGCACAAATGACACCTGATGGGGAAGGGTGAACTAAAAGTCAGTCCCCGCCTCTTCACTGGAAACACTTCTGATTCAGGGGCCTCTGGGGACTGACAGAGGAGAAAATAGCATTGGAGAAAACCAAATGGGCCATAGGGATGTCACATCAATGATTTTTGGCCCCAGGCTAAGAAACAGGGCCATGTTGCCTGATCTTGCATGAGAGCTGTCGTCTGTGCTGGGAAGACAGAGGATGTCAGACCTAGGAACCTCAGTTTTATTTCTTCCCTTTTCTCCAGATTTAGTGCAAGCATTGGGAAATATTGCTTAGCCCCACCGCAAAGCTAAAGAGGAAAATGCTTTGGCCTAGACTGACATTGAGGAATGCATTTTCATCGACAAAGGCATCTGCCTCCCTCCTTCAATTAATTAGTTGCAAATATGTAAGGAAAAATATTATCTTAAGTCTTTGTGACAAGTATCACCTTCTGCTCCTTGGAGTTCTGTGTCACTATGCCTTTCTCTTAAGGAGAGGAAAGTGAACCTTCTACGAGGTTTTGCTGTTATGGTTTTTACTAGACGTACCTGGACTTCATCTAATTGCCATGTGTGTCTGTGTGAACTGCTTTCATGTGTTATTTTGTGTCCCACAGTAGAACAAAGTAACAAATCTTATGGCCTCTTCAATTATTCATTTATTCTGTACACTGGCCCTCTTGTTTTTATGGTCTTGGCACGTCCATTTAAAATGCAACTGTGCATATTTGTGAGTGTTCCAGTGATATATTTAAAGGCCTGATACATACAAACTACCTTATAATCTTGGCTGCTCTAAACGTTTTTAAAGTCTATTGAAATGGTATCTGAATCTATTAAGTGTTTTATGAAATCATAAAGAGCTATTTGTTTATATAAAGCAACATTCATTGAAATGATAAGATAAAAACTTGTACTAAGCTATAAAATAAATCTAGAAAAGGAATTCTTTCCAAAATGGGTTCCAAAGGAAAACAAAGTATTATCTAACATTTTATTTGTTAGTAGCAGTCATGGATAATATAAAAATGATGTTAATCAAAATACTTCCAAGCAGTGTGTCTTAAAAATCTTCACTAGACTAATTACTATGTATTCCTTTTTCAGAAATAATCTTAATATCATTTTCTTATTAACACTGCAATACATGTAACATTATATATAACATATATGTTACACAAATATGTATACACTTACATGAAAGATCTTTGCAAAACATCTTTTTCACGGTGAGGCTTACAGGAAATATAATCCTGACTAACATAAATGCATTCAAAATCCAGATGTTATCTTATCCACTTTAAACCTAAGGAAATAAGGTCATTTTAAAAACCAAGCTGTTGGTGCTTGCTCAGACGGCTTGAAGCCTTGTCATCGGATCAGGCTCCCTGCTTTTAATAGTCAAGTCTTCTACTTTACTTTGGACCAGTGGTTCAGCCTTCCTAATGCTGCCACCCACAGTTCCTCATGCTGTGGTGACTCACAACCATAAGATTCTTTTCATTGCTACTTTGTAACTATACTTTTGCTACTGTTAGAGTCCTACTCAGAGAATACCCCTGCTTCCCCAAAGCAGTAATAAACAGCTTCAGTGGAGACAAAGAAGAAAGCAGCAATAAAACACCAACTGAAAAAAAAAAAAACAAACCAATAGCTATACAGCACTACCTAGTGAGGACAGAACTTCAAATAAAATAGCTCTCTTAAGGAAATCCCATAAAATTCAAGAAACAAGTCAGTCTTCTGCCAGAGAATCTTAAAAGAGACATTACATTTTCTAAAATCAAATGGAAATCCTTGAAATTACAAATTATAATAAATCAAAGCACAAAGGAATATATCAATTGCAGAACAAATCAAACAGAAAAACATAAAGCTCAAAGTCAAACTATTTTAAAATACACTTTGACAATTCTGTATTTTCTTGAACTCACAAATAAGAGTAAGTATCCAGGTAATGAAAAATTATATATTATCATAAACATGGGACATAAACCTATCACGCATAATTGAGGGCTAAAATAAGGTAAAAATGAAAAGTACAATATATCAAGAGGTAGACAGCCTAGGAGAGTAAAAGGGGAAATAATTGAAGGTTAAAAATGGGAGAGAAATAGTACAAGTGCCAATAGGTTTTCTCTTTCTTTTATTCTTCTACTTTTTCTTTTGACACTTAACAGCCATTATTTCAAAGCTGCTTGCTGTAATCAAAAGATGAATTTTAAAAGCTTTATATGGTATCCACAAAGCCAAAATGTGTAATATACAAACTGAAAAAGCAAGCAAGGAATCAGAGCATATAATTAGAGAAAAATTACCCACAAAGTTAGGCTTTATTCATTGATTATTGCGTTAAATGCAAATGGCTCAAATTCTCAAAATTAAATATTCAGTGACTGACTGGATTAAAATACAATACCTAACTATACGGTACTCACAAAAAACTCATCCCACCTCCAGGAATATATAGACTGAATATAAGTGGAATAAGAAGCAGGGATAGTCACAGGAACATAAAATAAAATTTAGAACTCTTCAATCAATAGCCTAACATCATACTTCAAAAAACTAGAAAAACAAACCAAACCCAGATGTAGTAGAATTAAAAAAAAAAAAAAGAGTAAAACTAAATAAAGCAAAAGCCCTCAGACTCAAGAGAGAGGACAGAATTTGGATCTGTAGACCCCACATAAATGGCAGAGGTAGGGCATCCCCTAAACAATCTGGCTAGCAACATTGGTCATGTTGGAGAGCTAACGAGAGACAGGAAAGGGAGACAGAGCAAGGAAGAAAAGCTGCTGCCCTGGGGAAATTCAAAATAATAGTATTTCCCTTTCTGTAGGAAGATGATGGAGGATGGAGGGAGGATGTGTGGGTGGAGGTTGGGGATTCTAAATTCTCTAATGGAGATAGCTAGTTCATAGATTTGTCATCAACACCTAACTTAAAAGACCATGCGCAAACCAATAGTGAGATCTACCTATAAAACATGACTGTGATTAACCCAATTACTTGTGGCCAAATTCCAGACACTGCCACTGAGAAACAGATAAATTATCCTCAATGATTTTATCTTAAGTATAAATAAACTTTAAAAAACACTACCTAGAAGACGAAAAAAGTAAACAAAGTTGAAAAGTATACCACCATCATTTTACAAAAAAAGATGAATCTTACAAAAACTTATGTCCAGAAAACAAAAAATCGTAAACAAACATCAGCAAACCTAACCTGCCGACACAGGCAGCATTGGTAGTCTAGAAATACAAAAAAAAAAAAAAAAAAACATGAGCCCAAAGAAATGTCATTTGGTGAAAGTTAACACGTATCTGTCCTTTTAAAACTTAATTTAATATGGGAGACTAATTTCTGAATTTACTAAATGGCCTTTATACTAATTCACCAGGAGTATTATTCCTAATCTTAGAAGTCAAGATTTTTTTTTTCCTTCAGATCAAGAATGACACAAAAATGTTGCCTTGACTCCTTCTCACTGCAATTAGTAGCCTTAGGACACAGTTAAAGAAATAAAGCTTGTAGCTCTTAGATGACACAGTTTTACATGCAAGATCAGAAGTCACTGGGCCACGAGATGGCTCAGCGGGGAAGGCACTTGCTTTACACCTGGCCACCTGAGCTTTTCCACATGAGGGAAAGAAAGAACTGGCTTCTGAAAGTCACCCTCTGACCTCCTCATGCATTCTGTGGCATTCATGTACACGTATGTACACACACACATACAAATGTACACGCATATAACAGTCAATAATTAACTGTGTAAAAGTATTAGAATATCTTAACACCGCTATTGACTTACCAAATATTAATGAGTTCATACAACACAGAGAACAAACCCCAATATAAGCCATGCACTTCAGTTAATAACGTATCAATACTGCTTCATAAATTGTAACAAGTACCGCCCAGTGCAAAAATATTACTAATAATGGAGCTGAAGGGTTGTGACAAGGTAGTGCTTGGAAACCATCCTCTATACCTGTATCTGTAAGATGAGAACTCGTAAGAGAGTAAATTCTGTGCATGTAAAAAATGAATTTAGTTAATTATATTTATAATTTCAAAAAAAAAACTTTCAAAATGCCAAAAGCCAATTAACAAAAAATAGTAATAATTTGGTACTTGTGGTGATTTGAATAATAATGAGCCCTCTCGGGCTCATATGTTTGAATGTTTAGTCACCATGGAATAGGACTATTTGAAAAGATTATAAGGATCAGGCAGTGTGACCTTGTTGGAGGAAGTATGCCACCTGTGATGGGTTTTGAAGTTTCAAAAGTTCAAGTCTCTCTGTCTGTTTCCCTCTCTGTCTGTTTCCCTCTCTCTCTCTGTCTCTCTCTGTCTCTCTGTCTCTCTCTGCTACCCTCAGATCAGGAAGTAATTCTCAGCTACTTGTCCAACACTGTGTCTGCCAGCATGCTTCAATGTTCCCTGTTGATAATGAACTACACCTCTGAAACTGTAAGCCAGCCCCAATTAAGTGCTTTCTTTTATAATAGTTGTCATGGTCATTTTATCTCTTCACAGCAATAGAACAAAGACAGTACTTATAGAAATTATAAGTATTTCTGTATATCTACAAAATACATTAGAGCATTAAAAATAGTAACTGGCTGGGGCTGGAGAGATGGCTCAGAGGTTAAGAACACTTGCTGTTCTTCCGAAGGTCCTGAGTTCAATTCCCAGTCAACCACATGGTGGCTCAGAACCATCTATAGTAAGATCTGGTGTTCAGGCAGAATGTTGTATAAATAATAAATAAGTCTTTAAAAAAAATAGTAACTGGCAAAAAAATAATAGACCTAGAAATAAATATCCAAGTTATCTGGAAGAGATCCAGAATTATTATATATATATATGTATATAATATATATATAATATATATTATATACATATATATATATACACAAAAGTTTTCCAGGAGACTAGAAGAATCATTTGAAACTTGGAGAAATTGGCTGGAATGTTCCACATAATAAAGATACGTATGACACTGGAAACATCAGTCCTTCCCAGATGGATCAATCAAATTTCTTAAAGCCCTGTAAAAAATCTAAAAGGCTGTTTACTGGCATAAGTGTGACAGAGCGTTGGTCTGTCCATGTGACAGACAACCAAATTGCATCCCTCTTTCTACTACACCAAAATTAGTTAAGTTGCATATAGTTGGAGATAAATACATACGTGTGACGACATCCCTTGTACATCGCCAGCAATTCTAATATGAAGGCAACTATAAATGCATAGCTACCATTTATCATCTTTGAACTAACATTTTAAAATAATGCAGAAAATCCATTCATATAAGTACTTATAAAGCCTTTACCAACTGTGTTATCAACACATAAATTTTACTAGATGAATTCTGCATCTTTCTCAGTGTCTAAGAGCCAGACTCCGACATGACATAGCACAGGCTCTCATTTTCCTACTGACTCTAAGAGTCATAAAATGGACAAAGCTCTGTAAATTTCAGCCTATTGTTTTATAAAAGATTAATAAGCTTATAGGCAAATGTTATTCATCTTCTTTTCATTGCCTTGCAGTTAAAAAGCGCGAGGCTTGAATAAAACACGCGAGTAATCAGAAATGTCTAACAGCTCCCTGAATTAAGCTGCATCACAAGTCTCTTGTTCTCTTTATAAAGTATCAAGCATTCTTACATGAATAAGTATGCAACATCATGAGGCCTTAGCGTAAGATAAGATTGCTTCCATTCTAAGAATCTTTGCAATAATTCATCTGCTTCACCATCTGTAGAAATCTTATTTTTATCTGACCACAACTCCAATGAGGATAACACAACAGTAACCTTGAGTTGGGCAAACACCTAAAAACAAAAGAAGTGAAGACACACAAAGTTAACCTCTTGTTTTATAATACCCTGCCCTATAAAATAATTTGAAATTTTCATAAATTCACACTCTTTTATAAGAGTGACTTACTCAGAAATGTCACATCAAGTTAGTGCAAATGATAATTTCAAAATGAAAAATTCTGGTATTAAAAAGGAAAGCACTTACTGAATTTATGAGACTGATAATTTCGATGATTTTATTTGTTACAATCATGCTGTCAGAGCCCAAGTAATCATACTAAAAGACAGAATTAAGTTTATAGTTAAAATACTGCTTTCGTGTGATGTTTTTATATTTATCTTTTGTATGATGTTTTTGATATTTATATCTACTCTCCGGAGCTTGAGGATGATACAGAATTCAGTGTTTCAAATAAGATACACGATTCCCAATGTGAGACCGTTACAGAACATACTTGTACACAAACACACACGCACATCCACACGTGTAACACAAATACATACACATATTCACTAGCAGGTGTCTGCGTAAGTGTTGAAATGTGGATTGACCCAGGATAACATCTCGTAGGCCTCACCACTTTAAATACCTCCTTTGAGCTTTCTCAGAAGTCAAGTACTGGCCTACTGTTCCTCAACTCTTCTTACTTCTGACCTCAATTCTGGACTCCTAGCGAGCTCTACGAGGTTAAGAATGGAACTGCTGAGATGTTTTATTTGCGTTCTCTGTAATAGTCCACCAAGGGTGATAATCAAATACGTACAACCAGGCTAAAGCCTGAGAAATGCATTTGTCCCTAAAAACCATATAATTTGTTGTTTATGGAAATCAGGGACCTAGAGACGTCTTCCTGTCAGGAAACTATGGTGTAGAGAAAGCACAGCACCAAACACCTGTGCTTTACAGCATGCACAGGCACGCTAGCCACTGCTGTCAGAAAAAAATCACAGGACTGAACACCCTCTGGGCTTGCTAGCCCAGCCTCTTGCTTTTCAGGCTTGCCAGAGTTGTTTCCTATGGGGTTACGGAGACTATTTGGTTTTCAGTTAGCAAACTGTTATACCGTGCTGTCTGTCACGGGAAGTGAGGAGACTGGAATGTTTCCTCTAGCTTGCCTCTAGCTAGGAGCATCACACACTCACAGAAAATATCTAAAGAACGTGTTAAAATGTTCACACACACACACACACCAAAGTGCATCGGACGTTTCGCAACTCTCTGAAAATGTTTTTTAGGTTTATTGGTTTTGTTATTTTATGTGGGTAAGTGTTTTGCCTGAATGTGTATTTGTACACCACAGGCATGCCTTGTACCCTCAGAGGTCAAAAGAGGGCACTGGGTGCTCTGGGACTGGAGTTTCAGGGGGCTGTGGATCATCGTGTGGGTGCTGGGACTCAAACCTCTGCAGGAGGAACAAGTGGTCCTCACTGCTGAGCAAACTCTCCAGTCCTGCCCCAAATACGGAAAAGGAAAACCAAAGCACATACCAAAGTTTTGTCCACCACAATATTCATCTCTAGATAGAGGGGAGCCGAGGTTATTGAAGGTGATTCTGGCTGGAAAGGAACAAAACCACACCAAAGTTGACATGGTCGTGATGCATTTACTTGGAGCTCTTTGTTAAGCTAGCAGGGGAACACACATGGAATTCGCTGGTGGGGTTGTACAGCTGGGAAAGCCAAGCATGGCGCTCGGGTGTCAGAGAATGGAATCTAGTGACGAGAGCATTGATTGTACAACCACCCAGATGATCAAGAGCGTCCAACTTGTGGACTCCACATATACTAAAATTGGAATGGAGCACGATGTGCTTTTAACCATCTATTTGATCTGAATGCCAAAACTGGATTGTAACTTTAGCGATCATAAAGATGTTGAAGACGGAGGAACTATGGTTGCGTTTCATCCCCTCCTGCAGCCACATGCTTCGCAGCATGGCTGAAACACCTCTCAAGAGACAAGTCTGCTCGCCCTGGCTCCTCACCAAAGCTGCTGGCCAGGAACTGCAGGGAAAAGGCTGCAGTGCCTGGTTGGGGTCTCCTGACTGCCATGCGTGCTCACAAAGCAGCAGCTTGTGCATATCCTGCCAGGCCACCACACCGTGAGAAACAGAGAGGGAACAGGCTATTCATTGCTTGAGCAGAAAACAGAAAAGAAAGACAGCTACCAACTTTTCGGTGAATTTTCACCATGGAAACCCAGCTCACTGGCATCCATTGGAATGGTGCCTCGTATTCTCTGTGTGGCTTATTGGTAGATGGCAAATGCCAAATTGTTTCTCAAAGAATTGTGGCTATGTGTTTGAGCTGTCTGCTGCCTTCCTAAAGGAAGGGGAGGGGGCACTGGGGGGAGAAAGGAGAGGGGGCCACCCTTGGGATGTAAAGTACATCAACTTAAATAAAATTAATAGAATCTGTAAAAAACTAAAAAAGTTTGCACAGAGAGTTTTTCGATTTCTCCTTGGAACTTTCACAAATGTTTTGTAGAAGGCATTTGTAAAATAAATAAATGAATGAACGAATGAATAAATAAATAAATAAATATTAGGTGCTGTCTAGAGCAAGGAATAAAAACAAGGCTGACCTTGAAATGGCACTAGGTTTTCTTCCCTGGCAAACCATGCGGCCCTGTGCAAACAAGAGTGAAATCCAGGAAGCCGTCACAAATAACCTAAATAAGCATTACGAATGCACCCAAACACAGTACGTCTCAAAAAATCGCAAGAGCTCCAGCCCTTTCCCCCCCTTTTGGACTGGCCCATCACAAGCTCTTTGCCCTCAGAAACTCCCCAGCTGTCCCCACAAGGTCCCTAGCTGCTTGCATCCATGTTCCTAGCCTCCCACAATTAGGGTCACCCAAAGCTTGCCAACGAGCACCACATCCTTCCAGGCCCACACCTCAACCCCTCAGTTAAAAAACAAAAACAAAAAAACTCAACAGGCCTAGAGAGATGGCTCAGAAGTTAAGAGCACTGTTTGTTCTTTCAAAGGTCATGAGTTCAACTCCCAGCAACCACATGGTGGCTCACAACCATCTACAATGAGATCTGCTGCCCTCTTCTGATGTGCAGGTGTACATGCAGACAAACCATTGTATACATAATAAATCTTTTTTAAAAAATCGACAAAAGTAACAGTATTTAATACACATCTTTTAGCAATAATTTTAAATAATAATGGAATCCATTCCCCCAATAAAAAGACACAAGTCTAACAGACTGGATTAGAAAACAGGCTCCATCTTTTCTTTTTGCTTCTTCCAAGAAACACCTCACAATCAATGATAGACATCACCTTAAGAGAAAAAGGATAGAAAAAGGCAAACAGAATTAAGAAACACTTAGGTTATTCTAATAGCTGACAAACCAAAACCAGTCAGAAGAGGTAAGAAGGGACACACATACGTGGGGCAAATAAATCACATGCCTTTCTACCCAGGCACAGAAGAACGAACAGAAAGACTGTAAGAGCCAGATTTGGTGGGTGACTATGAAGAAACAGTTCTGGGGGCACAAAACAGTTGAACCTATAAACATAGCAGTTGTACAAGACTTGGGTTAGCACAGGCCAGGTAAAAATTCTGAGGTGGAGGGGAGGGGTAGGCACAAAAGCCTACCCCTAGAAGAGAGATATTTGCAACTGATAGTTTAGAGGATGGGGTGGCAATGCAATATTTAGAAAATATCTTTTATTGTTAAAGAGACTAAAACTTTTGCCGGATGTCACAGCCAGACTTAATAAAACACCGTGAGGTAGGTCACTTAAGACTTAAGACTGTTGTCCTACTGTGTACTGTTGTGCCTGAACTTCCTCTACACTTAGAGAACAATGTAACAAACACCCCTACTTGCCTTGTATTGCCTTGTATTGTAATCAAATTTTACAGCCTAAGGCAATGCACAGCGGCAATGCTATGTGCTCTTCCACGCCCCTCACGGAGATAATGCATGTGTATCACTCACTGAAAGAAGCAAGTAGAGAAGTTGAATGTTAACTTCCTAAAAATGTGACTTAAAAGCTGAAGGCATCCATTTATGGGTATTGGTTGATTAACAATGATGTTTGTTATATGGGTCAGTTGGAGCCAGTGACTTAATCCCTTGTAGAACTCTACTAAATATTTCTGTAGAGTATCTCAATGATTCCTCATTGATATCAGGATTTGGAGACAAAATAGAGGTATTAGACCACACAAGCAAAGAATAGGAATTTTTTAGGCACAGAAAAGAAACATGCGGAAAGTGTGGGATACCATCAAAAGATCAAACCTTTGAATTATAGAAACAGTTGAAGAATCCCAGGTGAATGACATAGTCCAGATCTTTAACAAGATTATAGAAGAAAATGCCCCCAAACTAAGGAAAGACTCACCCATACATATGCAAGAAGCACAAATATCATATATACACAGGATCAGAAAAGAGTCTGCATGACATTTCAGTGTTAAAACAATACAAAACCAAAAAAAAAGTATTGAAAGCTGCAAAAGAAAAGACACAAGTTAAAAATAAAGGAAACCCCATCAGAATAAACGATTTACAAATGGAAACTGAGAGGCAGATGATCCTCCAGAAATGCACTCCATGTTTTAAAAGACCATGGGTGCCAATTTAAACTACTCTTCACAGCAAAACTATCTGCCATCATCGAAGAAGAAAAGCTTCCCTAGTACAAGAAGATTAAAAGATTCCTGCTGGCGCCTGTAATCCCAGCATTCAGGGAGACACAGGCAGAAAGATCTCTGCAAGTTCCTGGCCAGCCTGGTCTACAAAAGTGAGTCCAGGACAGCCAAGGCTGTACAGAGAAACCATGTCATGAAAACAAACAAACAAAAAATTCCTGCTCACCAAACCAACATTAAATGGCAGCATATGCAAAATGCATAAGCCTAGAATGCATATAAGCTAACAAAATCTTCTTTTTTTTATACTTAGGCAAATATAACATACTTGGTTGGGCATAAGCACCAGTTGGCCAGGCACTTAAGAAAAGAGATTTCCCTTGTTTCTAAGTGTGTGGAGTGATTTCTTGCTGGAAAGGCATATTATATCTGTAGCAGGTGCATGTCCATGTCTGTGGCTATATACACATGTAAACATGAAGGTAGAGGAATACATCAATTATTTTGCACATTATTATTGAAATGCCCATAAAAGAACTGTCAGTCAGGCTCAGATCAATTGTTCAGGGCACACCCTGGACAAGGACATGGCTCTTCTTCATAAATGTAGACAGGAGAAGTGGAGTAGTGCCCCAGGTCATGTTGACATAAAGAACTGTGTTTGTACAAGGTGGTACAGGAGTTCCTGTGTGCCCTCTCTGTCTTGTTATTTTAAGAAAGCCTGTTTCTGAGGGAGGGTTTCTCACTGAACCTGGAGTTCATTGGTTTGGCTAAGTTAGCTGCCTAATGTGCTCCAGGCATCCACCTGTCTCTGCAGTGTTGGAGTTTCATATGTACGCTGCCACACGGGGCCTTTCCATGGCTGCTGGAGATCTGAAGTCAGGAAGCCCAAGATGCCATCCAATGGCATTCTTGGCCTTTGGATTGGTGAAGGCCAGTAGTTGGCTAAGTTACAGATGTCAAAAGCTTTTTATCTACTAAGTCACAAGATGTTAACTCTGACCTAGATGTGGGCAAGGAATAGCAGTTCCAAGGCTAGACCTTGCCTAAGATAAGGTAATTAGGCTTTGGACCTGCAACATCCCAATCTCCAGTCAGTACTGAAATGCTTCTAATCAGGCAATCAGACCCTGCAGACACTGATTCTTTTCAGGTACTTTTGTTCACAATAACAAAAATATAACAACAAAAAACAAACAAACAAACGAAAAAGAAAACCCCAAGAACTAAAATAAAGTAAGCAATATGAAAGTCAGTGATAGGTTATACCTTGGAGGAAAACATTCAAAATGTATAAACATATATATAATATTTATTCATATAATGATATATATGTCATGATATAAATATCATTATATATAATATATATTTTATATATTATATAAAAGAACAAAAAATATATTTTATATATTATATATAATGATATATATAATATATAATACATAATATATAGTATATAGTATATATTATATATACTATATAGTATATTATGTTATATATAATATATTATATATCATATATATCATATATGTTATAAATATAGTATATATCATTATATAGATATCATTATATATCATAATATATATTATAAAACATATAAAATATATCAGAATATATATGTAACATGACTATATGTAATAAATATGTATCATGAATATATACAACAGTTTCATACTTTTTAATTAGAACTGATAAGTGCTTTGAAAGTAATACAATATACAAAAACTCACTTTTTTGTTGATAAAAATGCCGTAGTTTGTTGGCGTTTCTATGTTTCTGCTATTTTTGTTAAAAAGTGCTAATTCACTGTCTTCATTCCCTAATTTGTAAACAATATGCTGAAATGTACTTGATGATTCCAGAGGCTCGATTCCATAAGACTCATTTTCAAATTGTAGGATTCCTCTGCAAAATTAAGAGTAAAACTGTTAAGTGCATTTTATAAAATCTAGATTATGAAATTCTGAGGGCTTCCAATAAAACAACCAAACATATAGAGTGTTTTCAGCCCAGTATTTTGTTCCAATATCTACCGTAGGGATGACTTCTAAGAGAAAAATAATTTCTCTAACACAAAAATCCAATTTTCAATTTCTTTTGTTGTTGTTAATTACAAGAGTAATTAGTAATAGAAACAAGATTTAAAATTTCTAGAGGTACACAGTGTGATAGTAATCAAATAACTTCCCTCTGCTTCAGTCAGGGACTGCTTAACTGTACTGTAAACTGAAATGTTAATGAATTTCTCTCTAGTTTCCAGAACTTCGAAAAACTAATTACAGAGCTTTTATAATAATAAAAAAAATGTGCATCAGCAATTGTACTAATGAAAATAAAATGTAGCAGTGTTTGCAAAATGGTATTTATTTTGGTTGGGTATAAGTTTGAATATATACGAAACTATATAGTTTGAAATCAAAAGCTGGATTCTGAGGAGACCTCTGCTTCCCTGAGTTGAGGTAGCCCAGTAGGTCACTGCTGCATGAGAAACTGGTTTCAGGTTTGAATTTCAGGGTTCCATGTAGGAACCTCTGAAAATATTTGGGATAATAAAGATGTACACTAAAAACAGGGAAAGACTGAAACCTCTCCAAAGCAGAAAAGAAGAAACCAAATAATTCAAGAGTTAAAGAAAGTACTGTTATTATGTTAAGAGTATTTAATTAATAATTACAAAGATATGACTTTCTTGCTGTAAAGAAAAATTTTATGAGAAAAAAACAAGATTCATTTATTTTACTTGTATCTCCAAACACTAAGATACAACTATCTCCTGCAACCTAGAACATTCAATTGACTTTCCTAATGTTTAAAAAAAAAGAGAGAGAAGAGAAGAGAAGAGAAGAGAAGAGAAGAGAAGAGAAGAGAAG